CTACGTTCCCTCATCTTATTGCAAAAATTGTTTGATATAAGATTCATTTATATAAACACTTATCTAAACATCACATTGGCAATTTTCTTCTTCTACTAATTAACATTTTAATTACAAAAGTATTTTATACAACTATATCGCCGCGCTTTGTGTATATTACAATAAAATATTTACAGTTCTTTTTGTTGATAATATTGTAATATCAAAAACGTAGAAAAGTTTAAAATATATAATTTTCTTGTATATATATCAAAAGAGTCGAATCATTGGCTGTTTTTAATTACTATTTTTATCGTTTCTTTTTATTGTGCTTGAAAGACCATTCTTCGAAACCGTAACGCATGTTCTCTATACGCAAAGTGAATATCTAATTATTATAGTAATCGAAGCTCGAGTCTGTCGATTTTTATAAATTTATCTTAAACGTATTACAAACTAGTTTTGTAAGCAAGTAGATTTATATTCGTTTACTTTATAAGTTTACGATTGATATTTCTGTCTCATGTTATGCGGACAACTTTGCCAATATAATATCTTATTTGTTTCTAATGTTAATAATATGACTGTGGCATTACTCATTCTATTTGCGAGATGCATTTTAATATTTTAATAATTGTGCGTTACAGTAATTAATTTTCATCATGTGTTCGTCTATAAATATTTCAAGTGCGTTTTCGGAGATTTTTACGGAATGTAACAAGTCTTGTTACTCACTTTATTTTACTTTACATATATTTATCAAAATAAAGTTTGTATATCGAATACAATATCGTGCGCTAATCGTTTAACTGTATATAATAATTAATGAATTGTATGAAAATTGACTTTCAGCTTTCGAGAAAAATATGTTGCGTTATATTATTATGAAATGCTGCAACTCTTATTCGTTTAAAAATTTCTTTCAAGTGTATACGGTATAAGCAAAATAATGTTAATATCAAATATGAATATCAGTATCAAAAAGTCTATTGGATTTCTCTTTATATCAAGTGGAATGTTTAATTAGAAAAGCCTGTCAAAAGTCTCAGAAATATTCGAAGCAAACTCGTGTCCCGTTTAATTCGTTTAAATAATTGTATCTTTCATCTTTTGTGAAATTATCTCCTCGAACAAAGGATTACAATAACAGATATCTATCAATTTAAATCGTAATCGTCATAAACATCTCAAACGCGTTTAACAATCAACAATAATTAAACAATAATGAAACAATTTTCTCTGTTCAATCACTTAAATTGACGAGTACTTAATCAATAAAAAAAGGAAACAATGGAAAAATAATTATACGATTCTACTCGCTATACTCTTTGTCATGACTATGTATCTATAGATCTTTTCTGTCAGATTTGTACAACAACCATGGGCTTGTTTGAAAACAAAATATTGCGTTTCAAGCTTGAATTTTGGCTTCTCGAATTTAATAGCACCGTAGAATAATTACTACTTGAATTAATAATTTAATAATATCGAGTTCGAATATTTCCTTCGAAAATTGTCTATCGTACTACTTATTTACTTATAGGTACCATTTATCTACTATCTATGTAAATTTTTGATTCGATAGCGCGATGTACAACTCTTTCATTAATGCTACTTTTAAATTACATCCTCTTTTGATGTTATACGGAATAAATTTTATTTGATTAAAACGCTATTCAGTTCGATCTCAACGCAAACGTTTACGGATCAATGTTCAATGAAAACTGAACAGGAGATATTTGTTTACGTGAAAGAGTTCTACATCGATTAATGAATTGACGTAGAAAATACGATGGAAAAATTGTCTTTTAAAAAGAGAGATTACCTTTTCCTAGAGAGAAAGATATGCAGTCCACTCTAAACGTGACTCAGACCGACCCTTTTTTTTATGTAAAACCTAGCAATACTGTAGTAACAAAATTTTGTGATATGATAGAATTGCAAAATTTGTTAAAATAGTTTGCTAGTTTCTCCATAAAAATTAGTCTTTCTTCTTTTCCTGTCCGACCACGTACAACGGAGGGAGAAAGGCTTCCTAGAGCTCGAGTTCCTCGGCAGTGCGCGACAGTCTGTGATTATCGATTCGCCTTCGTTGGCTTCTCCTTACAGCATCCGCCCTTCGATAAGGTTCCGATCGAAGCCCGAGAAGAATGTCCTCGAGAGCACCGTTGTAAACCTCGTCCTGCTGCAACAGCTTCTTCTCCTGGACCAGCCTCGTCTTGTTTTTCAATTCGTTTATCACAGCGTCCTGTTCAAAACAACGATTCCGATTCCACTTTGTTAATCAGGAGGCGACTCCATTTCGATTTATTAAAAAATCCTGTTTCAATCGCAGAGGAATGCTAAATGAAATAATTGACGAACGAGCTACCTGTTGCTTTTTCTGATTTAGCTTGTTTCGTTTGATTACGTCCTCGGAGGCGTTCAAAGCTTCCGCAGCAGCTGCTTCTAGTCTTCGACGCTGTTCGTTCTCTTGATCCGCAGCCTGAAAGGCACGTTACTCTTCAGCATCTTTTTAAATCTTATATATTACGAATCATTATCTATGACATTAAGTAGGAAACTCGTACCTTAAATGCCCTCGCGAATCTGACCAACAGAGAGAAGAACGTGTTGGCATCCGCTTGCCTGGGACTCTCTCCGAAGAACTCGACGCATTCTCTGAAAGCTTCGCCAGCGGCTCGCGCGTCGGACTTCAGTCTTCTTAGCTTCTCTTCGGAATTATTCAAGAAATCTCGAAGGACGGTATTATGTTTCTCTTTTCCTCGGAGTTCGAATTCCTTTCGAACGAGATCCATACCCTTCTCTAACTCGTGGACGTCGGTCGTAATATTTTCTAACGATACTGTAAGATATTCGCAAGAGACGCAACATGTAATGCCAGTAGTGCGATTAAAGTTTTGTAACGCGTTATTGAATATTAAAATATACGAACCAGTTGCTGCTTTATCGATGTACATAAGCTCTGATTCGAAGTTAATCAGTTCTGGAAATTTGACTCGTATCGTGGCCACGATATAATGTAAAAGGCACATCCTCTTATCGGTGGACTTGGTGTCGAGCAACGTGTCCAAACTCTGAAGCTTGAATCCGTAAGCCGGTCCACGTTTACTGCTGTTCAAGTAATTCCCAAACGCGAGAATGATCTCGAGAACTGCCCGCAACTTTTTCGAACTCTTCACGGTACTTGAGGCGGATATCACAGCATGTATTTGCGGTGTTATTAAATGGAGATTGTCGAAGAAGTTCCCGATATAATTCATAATAGATAATTTCGTAGATATCCTTTCCACTTTGCCCAGTTGCATCAAGAACTTGTCTTCCTCCGTTAGCAGGTTCACATTCTTCTTCTCTATTATGTATTCCCTGTACGCTTTTATCTGTAACGAATTTGTTTCGTTATTCATTGTTCACTGCGTTCTAAACTTAAATAAAATCATACCTCTTGATCCGTGGGTACCATGCGTTGCAACAATTCCACATTTTCTAACGATAGTATTTTCAGATCGAGAGCGTTGACCGCCATTATCACTTTCTCCACTGGCATTTCCATCTTCCTTCGCGATATCGCTTTAAAACCAAACCCAAAATCAGTAAATTGCACCTTGAATCGAAGCTGTTACTCGAATAATTATACCGTACCAATATTTCTTAGCCTAGTGTGCTCCAGAAGCGACACCTCAGGCTTCTTGAACCTCTTGCTCGGGAAACTGTGAAGACCGTCGATCTCGTTGTTACCATTGGCAACGTGGCTTCCCATTCCTATCTTGAATCGCTCCTCAAAATCGGAGAAGTCTATGTAACTGTGCAAACGATCGTCATCCAGCTCGTTGAAAATCGTTCCTCGGACTTGGTTCGGCTTCAGAGCGATCCAATTCAGGGTAGGTAGCTTGTATTTCGTTTGAACCTGATATGAAACATGATGCAATATGTTAAAAAACAAATCGAGCAACGCTAGCCTGGCAAAGTTTTTCAACCACGTTGGGCTTATAAAATTACAGTTCTCGTAATTCCGATTACCTTTCGTTTTATGGTCATCGCTCCATCCGGTGCCTGCATCATTCCAGCGGGAGGCGGTGGAATAGGTACAGGCGGTGGCAATTTTTGATCTCCTGGGGAAAGCGGTGCCATAGGGGGTGGAGGAGGACACGGCGGCGGAGGTGGAGGAGGTGGCGCAGGAGCAGACGGCGAGGGTTCCTCCGAAGTTGGAGATGGAGTCGAATTATGAGTAGGAGACGCGGCATTTTCTATGCTGTTGGAATTCGTAGCAGATCCGTTTCGTAGAGTGTCTCCTTAAAATAAGGATAATAATTAACTTTCGAATAGATAAAGAGAGTTGAGGTACAAGAAAATGAACGTACTAGTCGAGCCCTTGGTCAGAGTTCCTGTAAGAGTCTCCAATTCGATGATCTTATTCTCCAAAACGCTCTGCCTTCGAGCGGAATCCTGTTTCTGCCTCTTTAACGCCGTCAATTCTTCCTCGGCTAATCGTCGAGCCTCTACCGCTTCACTATACTCCACTTTCAAAGCACCTAGTTCTGTTTCCAACTCCGCTAACTTTGCCAGCGACTCCCGCTCGAGTTCTGCCATTCTGTCGTGCGCCTATTTATTTATTTATTTTTTTGTCAGCAATAGCATTTCAAGATTAAAGGTTCAAAATAATTATCTCTGACTATTCTTACATGACCAAGTTCATCCTCCAATTCAGCTACTTTCTCTAATGCGGCAGTCTTCGTTTCGCTATCCTCCATTAAAGCTGCTACGTCGAATACATTGTCTAGATACGCTGAGATTTGAACCTAAAAATTAATTATTCTTATTAAAATTATACTAATACTATTTTAAACGTACTGAAATTACCTGCAAATCCTCGCTCTCGGTGTGCCTCAGTTTCTCCAAATACTCGTCTAATCCAAGCTTAGTGAATTCGTATTGAAGATGTACTCGGAAGTTCATGTCCTCCACGGAGTGAACCACGATATTCACAAATTGCATACAGGCAACCATGAATTCTATGTGAAAACTGTCGTATTGAGTGAAGTATGCCATTAGAGTCGTGAATCTTCTTCTTTCCGCGCAGACTTCTTTAAAGTTGTCAAAGGCTGAGAGAATGATTTCGTGGCCACCCTTGACTAAGCAAATCGCCGCAAGGAGTTCGAGGACCAAGGCTTTCGTTCTAGAAACGAAGAAATTCTCTTTCAACATTTTTTCACTACGGGTTCATTTATTAAAAATTGAGGAAGAACAATTTTACCGTAGACTCTTGTGCATCAAACTAAGGGCGATGCAGTTGATTGCCTCGCGATGCTGAATGACCATGTTGAAGCCATACTAGAATACCATCACATAAATTTACTTTGACAATTTGATAAAAATTTTGACACACGACTAACTATAATAATTTCTATCTAATCTATTCAAATACATATTTGACCTATTTCGTCTACTGAAGTTGAATTCATTTCTAAGTTATGAATATTTATGACCTGTTTTCCTCACAATGTGAATTTTTTATTGCATGAACTTCTATTGTACTACTGATTAAAACTGTATCAGGGACAAAAGAGCTCGAAGTTCATTGTAATTGTTAATGCAACTGTTCACCTTGTTATTCATGATGGCGCGCATACACAGTATGCACACGTGAATGTCGTCCTTAGCTTCGCCCATATTTAATCTAGCCACGTGCCTAGATCTCCTTTTAACACCGGGACTGTCTTTCAATTCCTGAAGAGGAGGCCTCAGACATCCATTGTTCAGGGGCGAGGTGTCTCCCGAGCCGACTGAAATACAATTGCTTCGTACAACTCGCCGATTCCTATTTTCACCCAAGACAAACAAACGGTGTAATCGATCAGATTAATTACCGGCTTGTAGTTTTTCCTCCGAGCTCGTATGACATTCCACGAGACGTTGTTCGTGCCTCATCATTAGCAACCTGAAGCTGAGGTAGTCTATGAGAGCGTCTAATCCTTGGTTCTCTTCGTCCAAAAATTCCCTCACCCACCTAAACCGATTGAAATTGATTTAGCTTGATACGAATTAAAAAGTAGATGTATTCGACAGCGAATTACAATTCCTTACTCGATATGGTTTGTGCGCAAAGAGATCTCCAGATCCCTCAGAACTTGCGTTGACGTCGACTCCCCTACCATTTTCCTCTTCTGGAAAAATGCGAGAAAACGATACGTCTGTATAATCGTTAGTATCCGTCGTTCAATCTCTCTCATTCGCGGAAAAACGAACAGAAGGTAAACGATTTTTTGTACCCCGATAACTAAACACATTACTTTTGTACTTCGGAGAAGAAACGCGTATATCAATTCTGTAGTATCCCAATTCGCGGTATAACATAAAAGAGACAAAAATACGGATAGGCAATGAGTACAGATATTGTTAGCTTGAAACAAAAGGTAAGGTCGTAAGAAAAAATGAAACAGAGACATACTCGATGGCTCCTCGAAGCTTTCGGGTCCAAGTAGGTTCGCAATTTGGCTAGATAATGCGAGGGTGGATCTTTCGCTTGTACTCGTTCCTGAAAACATCAATATTGTTATTTAATCGAACAAATTTATTTAAAAACAGATTTGGCTTTACTGGATTCGAATTTCCATAAAGACAGTAATTTAAAATAAAATTACGGGTTTAGATTTATATAAAAAAACCGATTGCAACGGATTGGAATTTATTTGAAACAGAGTATAGATTGCAAGATACGAGTTTCGGCTAAAACACGTGTGTTCGATGAATGAGGGATGCTCTTCCACATCTTTTTTGCTTTCTTCTTATATCGTATAATAGCCACGGCTTGCGTTACATCCGTGTCGTGTTACCCACATGCCCTACGATACAGGCCCGCTTAAAAATTCCTCACCATTACTCGAAAGACTTCGTACAAGAACGAAGGGATGACAAACAGACTCTACACTTTTGTTTCCCTCGTTCGCTGCATCGCTCCCCAATTAGCAGCGACTTTCTTCTTTAAATATATATGATGCATATAATAATGAGATAAAATAGCAGGTCGGGAGTTTTGAAAAGGCAACGTTAACTCGTTCCCTTTGACCCAGGCGAGGCGAGATCCATTTCGTACTCGGCGATGAATAAAAGGGAGTGATTTCTACTCGAGACGTAGGTTCCAACCCTAACTCCAGCTCTCTCCCTTTAACGAGCCGACTGGGTCCACCTAAACCTAAACCGCAAAAACCTTCCCTCGTACTTCACTCTCCGCATACAGCGACTCTTTGTACGCGGCCTTTTTTCTCCTTCCGTCGAAACAGAAAACGAAAACTCTCGCAGCAACAGTATTTAAATATATTACCGCCATGTAAAAAAGTTTCTCAGAATGAAAATTTTATTCCGTAGTTTCTCGCAATTGAGATCGCAGAACGTTTGTTTATATCGTTATTCGTGAAAGCGTCTGCCGGGACATTTATAAAAATGACGTAACCGACTTGACTTTTAAACGAACAGCTCTTTGCTCGGTTGGCGCTCGCTTAATTTCGCGTGGCATGTAGTCTGCGAATATGCGGGTCTACGACCCTTTGCAAATCGTCCCACGATCTTCTCTCCCGACTCTTGCCACACACAGCAGTACACGTGTATCTTACGAAATCGCCGATCGATACGCGTGAATCAACGCGATCTTACTAAATAAAGAGTACTGAGCTCATGCACCTAAGTACGTGATACTCTCGTCTAAAAATGGATTTTCTTTAAACACGCTAATCCCGAGGCAGCAAGATTTATCTCGCAAAAAGACTGAAAAGCTATTACAAGCATAATTTTATTCTGTGTACAAAAGATTAAAAAAAGAACTCATCCTATTCTCGTCTAAAAGTGCATAACTTTCAAAGACTGCCAATCCTTAGAAGTATTCGTCTTACGAAACAGCTAGCAGCTGTATTGCTTTATTCTGAAAAATATTGAATCAGGCCACGTCGATTTCGTCAAAGAAATAACTCGATATATTGTAGCTCGGTTTAATGACTGAATACAATGCGGTGAACGCGAGTACAGCCGTTTAGTACATGTGTATATGATGCAGATGCGTGGGGCTGACGCTTAAGTGAGCTTAATGTCGAGCTCAATCGAGGGACAAGCCAGAGAAAGAGAGGAAAGAATCTACTCTCTTCTCGATCGTGAAGATTATCAAAGAAACCATTATTCTGGTCACACATGAAAATCGTCTTGTGATTTTTATCAAGTATGCAACCCGAGTCAATAGAAATAACACGAGACTGAAGAAATTGAATGTTACTTGTTAAAATAATAATAAAATTATTGAGAAAATATCTGTTGTTTTTTTTTATTGAAAATGTATATGATATGAAATCCATGAGGC